TGAGAATTAAGAGGAAAGGAATCAGCAGGAGTTATTGCCAGTGGTACTATAGTAATATATGGTTTACAGAAGATGGATGTTGTCTTCACACTCATTATCACATATTGAAATGGCCTCCTGATATGGTACAGTTAACCCAAAGCTTGAAAAGTTAAAATACAAAGGGTTTATTTTTCATTTTGGAACCAAAATCTATGTTTTAAAAAATAGCCTATATCATTTTAGAATTATTCGCTAACATAGATGTTCAAATTTAATTAATGTTTACTCAGCTTGATAAGTTTCGTTAGTCAGAGAGCCCATTAAAGTTTGTAGATATAAAGTCTTATTCGACTTACCTATCTGAAACTTAATATTAATATATTTGAATTTTACTATTTTCCGTTTTCATCCCTGTTTTTGGGCATACTATTTCAGCCATAAAAGATTATTTGTTATGTTTCTCTTTAATGATATATAACAAGTGGTCATGCAGCAGTTAGTCGTTACAATTTTGCACTTTTTTCATATATAAAAACGATCTTGTAGAATTTGTCTAACAATTCAGTTTTATAGAGAAATGTTTGCTCTACAAGATGAGGTATGACAACACTTTTCACCTTGTATCGTTATGCAGATAAAGCATATTTACTAGACGTTCCATGATCAACAATGAAATTAGCAGAGGTTTAAGGCTATCGCCACATGTTTGTATCACTCGATCACAGTTTTCTATGTCTGCGAGAAGTAATAGGTGATCCTTTCTCTTGTACAATCTGATCTTTGATGGTCTATTTACAACACTCTTCTCATTTTTTAACAAATGGAAAAGAAACAAATAAAACATAGAAGAACAAAAAAACCAGAAGAGACATATCAAGAACAACAGCAAACAACAACGTTTTTCTGTTCAGTATAAAGTGCTACAGTTGTTATTACAAAAAAAGTAAATCGAACGAGAAGTGAAGAACTACGAACGATCTCGTTTACTAGAATGTCGATATTTTTCAACTTCATTGTTATTACTACTACCACCGTCGTCAACAGATCGATGATGATGATGCCGACGATGAGAATGGGTGTGATGATGTCGACGTGAATCGTGTTCTTCACCGGATGTACCTTTGGCTGTAAAGAAGAAAGTATTACAGATGGATTATTATTAATTTTATTCAACATACCTCGTTCGTCGCGTTGTCTCGACCTATCACGATGTGAGCTCGATTTGTGATGTGAATGATGATGATGTCGATGATGATGGCGTGGTGATCTCGATCGTGATCTGAACAAAATAATAATTTTCTCACATTTATGGTAGCAATAGTTTATGATGCTTAGAAAAATGCTTAACCAACGATGAATAACTTTTTGAAACAGAACACATTGATTTCGGCTACTAATAAAGTTTTGACTTTCGGTGTCCAAAGCTAGATTCCTATATGTTTTTATCGTTGTATTTATTACATGTCCGAATGACCACTAACCAAAGTAAATAGGATTAATTTCATAAAATTATGTATCGCAATTCCAGAAGTGTATCTGAAAACATCTTTATCATGTCTTTTATTTATGTTTAACGACTCACACTTACTTGTGCAACTTTTTCTTACTGCTATCTGAAGAGTGATTGTTTCCATTTTGTTCAACGGAAGAAGATAAACGTTTTTTTGTTTGATTTGTAGATATATCATTTGTTGCAGCTGTTGAAGTAATTGTTGAGGGCAAAACAATTCCAAATGTCTCCGGCATTTCAGGTACTGCTGTTGAAGTTAAATTTGTCGAAAGTGA